AGGAGGTGGCGACCCCCCCACCTTTCCTTTCTCTCGTGAGGAGGGAAAGGCAGGAGGGGCCACCCCTCCCCTTTCCTTCCCCTAGGGCTGGCTGGCCATGTAGAGGGGCGCACCAGCCCCTAGTGGGCTGGTCTGTCCCCCCGTTTGGACCATTAGGCCCATACACTTACCGGGGCTGTCCGGAACCCCTTCCGCTGACCCGATGCCTACCCGATGCACTCCGAAACTCTTCCATTATCTGAATACCATCGTCCTATATATCAATCTTTACCTCTCGACCATTTCGAGACTCCTCGTCATGTCCGTGATCTCATCCGGGACTCCGAACAACATTCGGTCACCAAATCATATAACTCATATAACACTATATCGTCAATGAATGTTAAGCGTGCGGACCCTACGGGTTCGAGAACTATGTAGACATGACCGAGACACCTCTCCGGTCAATAACCAATAGCAGAACCTGGATGCCCATATTGGCACCTACATATTATACGAAGATGTCTATCGGTCGAAGCAACATACGTAATTCCCTTTGCTCATCGGTATATTACTTGCCCGAGATTCGATCATTGGTATCTTCATACCTAGTTCAATCTCGTTACCGCTAAGTCTCTTTACTCGTTCCGTAATACATCATCTTGCAATTAACTTCTTAGTTACTATGCGTGCAAGGCTTCTTATGATGTGTATTACCGAGAAGGCCCAGAGATACCTCTCCCATACTCATAGTGACAAATCATAATCGCGATCTATGCCAACTCAACAAACACCTTTGAAGATACCTGTAGAGCATCTTTATGATCACCAAGTTACGTTGTGATGTTTGATAGCACACAAGGTATTCCTCCGGTATCCGGGAGTTGCATAATCTCATAGTCGAAGGAATATGTATTTGACATTAAGAAAGCAATAGCAATAAACTGAAACTATCAATATGCTAAGCTAACGGATGGGTCTTGTCCATCACAGCATTCTCATAATGATGTGATCCCGTTATCAAATGAAAACACATGTCTATGGTTAGGAAACCCTAACCATCTTTGATCAATGAGCTAGTCTAGTATAGGCTTACTAGCGACACAATATTTGTTTATGTATTCACACATGTATTTAAGTTTCCGATCAACACAATTCTAGCATGAATAATAAACCTTTATCATGAATAAGGAAATATAAAACAACAACTTTATTATTGCCTCTAGGGCATATTTCCTTTAGTGACCCACCTGCAACGAGGCAGGCCAGCAAAGTGCAAGCCCGGCCGCAGCGGTTGTGCCTACACCAAGGCCCGCAGTAGCACACACAACAAAAGGAGCTGGGCAACACCGTCGGGGGAGGGGAGACCTGCATGGGAGTACCAGCCAAGGCCGAGGCCATGCCATGCTGCTTCGCACGCCGTACCAGCAAGGGGAGCAGCAGATGGAGAGGAGCTCTCGAGTCGCGTCGAGAGTAGGTCTCAGGGGAGGAAGGCGCAACATGCCGAGAGGGATGAATCTATCCTGCCGCCACCCTCCCTTGGCTCAACACATCTTTGCCGGTGAACCCTCCGGTGGCGGCAATGGGAGGGGAGTGTAGAGTTTCCCCGTTGCGCCTTGGGGAGGAGTGGGTGTGTGTGTGTGGCGGGGGGGGGGGGGTTACATCTCGTTAGCAGTGAAGCTAATGGCTGTTTTTAGTTGGCTTGCCATAGGCTTAAACTGAAAGAAAATTGTCGATAAGTGCTTGTTCACTCATTTCAACCTGTATGCAGTCCATATTAAAATTTCCAAAACAAAGTACTTTTCTGCATTACTATTTCCGTCACTATTTTGTTGCTAGTGCTATCATATTACTATGCTACTAGTAAATTGTACCAAATAAGTTATCTATCCAGGTGTGGTTAAATTGACAACTCAGTTGTTAAGTCTTATAAGTATTCTTTGTGTCAAATCAATAAATTTGGGTTGAAATGCTTCCCTCGACGACTGTTGCGATCCCCTACGCTTGCAGGTCATTAGTCGCCGCCGCAACTTAAAGGAGGACGCCGTCGGGGATGAGGCGAAACGTGTGCACCGAGGCAGGCCAGCAAAGTGCTAGCCCAGCCGTAGTGGTTGTGCCTACATCGACGCCCACATCAGCTCACAAAACAAGAGGAGCCGGGCTACACCGTCGAGGGAGAGGGGACCTGCAGAGGAGTAGTAGCCAAGGCCAAGGCCACACCATGCCGCTTCACGCGCCGGACCAGCAAGGGGAGCAGCAATATGGGAGGAGCTCTCGACCCGAGTCGAGAGTGGATCTGAGGGGAGGAGGACGCAACACGTCGAGAGGGACGAATTCGTCTTGCCGCCACCCTCCCCAGGCTCAACATGCCTTCGTCGGTGAACCCTCCATGGTGGCAATGCGAGGGGAGTGTAGGGTGTGGTGGTGGGGGTGAGGGGGGAGGTACATCTCGTTAGCAGTGAAGCTGATGGCCATTTTTTTGAACAATCACCGGGGGGAGAGGATCCCCACCTGAATATATTACTCAAAGGTGCCCGAGGGAAAATTGCAGAATACATTATAGATTACAGCGAGAGGAGAGGTACAGGCGCCAAGACACGGCAGCCTCCCTACTAACGTGGTCCTTAAATCTGAAGGACCAAAGCGTGAAATCGGAGATAATGTTTTGAATAGTATCTAGGGGGAGTGTATCTCGTTACGTAACACACGAGCGTTTCTGGAATCCCAGAGCTTCCAGAGGACGGCAAGGGCGACAGTAGGCCAAATGTTGATGTCGAGGCCTACCGGAGTAGGAGTATCCCAGATGAGGTCGATGCGGTTAGGGGCATGGAGTCCCAGTATGGACCAGACCTGCCCGTGCATGGGCAGAGTAGAGCGAGGTGCGCCGCGTCCTCAGAAGACAAGTCACATCGAGGGCAAGACGATCCCGAGGTAATGGTCTTGCGATGTAAGTTCGCCATCGTGCTTAGCCTGTCACGGCAGAGGAGCCAGCCGAAGATCCTCACCTTGATTGGTGCCTTGGATCCCCAAATGTGCCCAGCGTTGAGGTCAAGCTCATGATCGGAGGAGAGCAAAGAGTAGGCGCACCTCGAGGTGAACGAGGAGCCGTGGATGAGGAACCTGTCGTCGGGCGCATTGCTTGTGGTAACATCCTGCAACAAAGACAAAACAAACGCAAGCTCGGCAGAAGCCACATTTGTTAGGCGGTTCCGCAGAGTAGCGAGTAAATTATTATGCATGACATGAGATACCAGGACAGAGGGAGCAGTGGAGTGAGATAAAAGGTGGGGGTATTTTTTTGCAAGCGGAGTCGGCAAGAGCCAAGTGTCGAGCCAGAAGAAAGTGGAAGTGCCATTGTTAGTAAGGACG